ATGTGCACGTGTGTGGATGCAAGGAGTCAACCTTGGGCATATTTCCTTTGGAGCCCTCCACCATTTTGTTTTGAGGCTGGCTCTCTTACTGCAACCTAGAGCTCAGCAACCAGACTTGGCTGGATGGCCAGTCTGACATCACCTCTCCAGCACTGGGATCATAAGCATGTGCCAGCACATCTGACTTTATATGTAGGTTCTGTGGCTCAAACTCAGTTCCTTATGCTTGCATATCAAGCACTTTAATGGCTCATTATCTCCCTACAGTGCTGTTGTCACTTTCTTTCTGTGAGGGTAGCATCCTGCCACCTCTAATACTTGCAGTTGTATGGGTTTTCTTTCAGGAGTACAGAGGGACTCTGCAAATGGAGGAGCTTTTGCCTAGATTTTAGGAGGCTCTGAGCTCCATCACCAGCATAAGGAGCAAAGCAGTCTTTCCTCCAGCAGACTCTTCTACTTCCTTTTTCTTTATTTTAATAGGCATTGTGATTCAGGTTATGTGACAGAGACAACAATGCTTGAAGGGGGGATGAAAATGTGAGATGGCTCACTATCAGACATGTTCTTTTTTTTTTTTAAGATGATTAGAAGTTTTCATTCCTTCTTGAATTTAGGAGGGAAAGCATGATGCCACAGTTTGAGTTTTTAATCCCAATACATCTTCTATATACAACCAAATAAACACTTTCAAGAACTGTTCCTCTCTTGTTCTCCTCCTCCTCCTTTTTTGAGGTACAGTATGATGGTTAATCTTCATTGTTAACATGACTAGATTTAGAATCACCTAGTCTACAGATCTCTGAGTAAGTCTCTGAGGGTGTTTCCTACGAGGATTAATCAAAGAGGAAAGTCCCACTCTGAATGTTGGAGATGTCATGCCATGAACTGGAGTACAAGACTGGATACAAAGCAGGGGGTGGGGAGAAGCAATCAGAATACCAGCATTTTTTGTTTTCTGTTTCGTGTTCTTCACTCTGATGTGAGGAATAGAGTAGTCTCAACTCTACATTCCTGCTGATAAGGAGCTACTTGCTGTCAATGATTGGTTTTATCCCATTTGGTGAGAAGAAATAAAGCCCTTCCTTAAGTTTCTTCATTGGGTGCTGATATGGAACCTATGGCCTTGAGTATGCTAGGCAAGCCCTCTACCACTGTTATGTCCCTAGCTTCAGTTGCTTTTCCTTTTAATACGCCTTTGCCATTTCATGTTGGCAGCCTGACATGATGTGCTGGGTAAAAGATCTTGGAGAACAGGTGTTCAGTAGTGTAGTGATGAGGTGTGGAGAGACGGACACATTCTATTTTCCTATGACTATATTTTAGTCTTGTGGTGAGACCCAGGTCTGTGACCTTCACAGAACATTCTGTTGTCATAATGACTGCTCCTCCTCTCTTGCCTGAAAACTGAGAATATTTCCTTTATTTTTTTTTATTTCCTTTATTTTTAATGGGACAAAATTCACAAAAGTATGCTTAAGCGACACTGAGCCCCTTCAGTTCTCAACTTTCAGATTTGTCCAGTGAGAGTGCCTGACAGTTTGTCAGTACCCTGGCATACTTCCTGTGGAGGCTTCTTGCTCTGGCAAGTTCTCATTTCTAGCACCTGCTTGTCTATCCACTCTTTGGAATTGATGCTTTCTTTAATCTCATTCCCCACAGATAGTAGTTTATTTTTCACTTTGTCCAGCTTATCTATGTCAGAAGGAAATAACCACTTCCTAGCCCCTTCAATACTAGATGAGGTATTAGAAACTATCTCTCCTTCAAAAATATATTTATTGAGAATTTTCTTCATGCAAACAACAAATTTCAACCATATTCACTGGTACTGTGTCATGTCCTCCCTTTTTTTTCATCCATTGAGTCCAATTAGTGCTTCTAGTAAGTACATCTCTTTTAGAATTGAAGTACCTTGTTTATTCTTAATATAAGCGTTTGCATCTATAATTACTTTCTTGAAGCATCACTTTAATCGAAACCAATAGATTTTTGTTTTGTTTTGTTTTGCTTTGTTTAGGAGAAGGTACTATGTATCCCAGACAGGCCTTGGACTTCCTGTGTAGATGTGGCTGGCCTTAAACTGCTGGTCTTCCTGCCTCCACTTACCAAGAACTCTGGGACTATAAACGTGAACAATCGCACCCAGTTTGTGTGGTGGTTGGACTCTAACTCGGGGCCTTGTGCATGCTAGGAAAGCACTCTGCTAACTGAGCTCCAGAACTAGTTTTTACAAGCTGTATTTGCTTTTCATTAATCTCAAAGCAGTTTCTAGTGGCCTTTATTATTGTAACTGGATTGTTTTGAAGGCAGTAACATTTTTATTCCATCACTGGACAAATTTCAGAAAGCATCAGTACTTCCAGACCTCTGAATTTCCATTTGTAAAGAACAGTTTCTAAGCAATAGGGGAACTGAAAGTAGATGAGCTGTTGCTGTCAGTAGGCCTATAATTTAACCCTTTACTCTTCCTTTTTTTTTTTTTTTCTCATTACAGTCTTGCCCTGGCTGGCCTTAAGCTAACTGTGTAAATAGACCTCAAACCATCTTTTTGCCTCAGTTTTCTCAGTGTTGGGATCATAAACATGTGCTTTTATGCTTAGCAAACCCTTAGCTTTGGCGGCCTTCTAAGTCACTGATCCCCAACTAAGATGACATTCTCTTATGAGCCCATTTTTTGTTAATATCTGCATGTGCAGTTTGGGATGGAGTACAACTGGCATCTAATTGGTAGAGATAAGGGATGCTACTTAACTTCTCACAAGACATAGGGCATTTCTCTCCCAATAGAGACTTCTAGTGTGAAATACTAATAAATGCTATTATCAGGAGAGATGAAGTTAAGCCTCTTAACTTGGTCAAAGTGTTTCTCACTTGTCCAGTACCTACCTATGCAACATCTCACTGCTGCTTCACAATGGACCCTAAAATGTCACAATCTAAGATGAGGTAGGTCATGCCTTAAAACTGAAGCAGCCTGTCAACCAATAGCACAGTTGGGAATACCATCTCCTAGTTCAGTTGGCCATCCAAAGGCCAGTGGTTCCTTGGGCCCTTCATCTACTTCAACCGTACCACATTTCAAAAGCAAGTCATCATGCTTTGTCTTGTGAGTATTGTCACTCTTTGGTATCCAGAAGTATTGGTTCTAGGGCCTCCTTGGATACAGATATTCAAGATTATTATATAGAACGGCCTAACATTTGCACATTGACCTCTTTGTATCCTCTCCTCGACTTTAGATAATCTCTAGGCTGCCTGTGCCCCCCCATCCCCGTGTGTGTGTGTGTGTGTGTGTGTGTGTGTGTGTGTGTGTGTGTGTG